ATTATTAATAAATAAATAATGGAAATAATAATAATATTAATTAACGCTACTTAATTGACTTTTTCTTTTCCTATTCTTTTTTTGCATAATTATTTTTCATAAATATATAAAACAATAAATGAAAAACAATATTTTCCTTTTTTTTTTTTTTTTCTTTTTGTTTTGAGCATTGGTTTCAAATTTAAAAAATAGAAAAAAAAAAAAATTTCCTAGAAATTTACAAATGCATTAAATAAATAAATAAATAAATAAATAAAGAAAGAAAGAAAAAAAAAATGCATGACTCGTTCTTTGGAAAATCATTAAATTATTAAAATAATAATTAATAAATAATTTTCATAATTGTTTAATAATAATAATAATATTATTTATTGTCATTGTTCTTTTATTTCTCCCTCCTTAATAATAATAATAATAATAATAATAGTAAGTCATTTTTTATTTTATGAATAAACATTTATTTCTCAATTTAATTATAATCATTATTCTATTCTATTCTTTTCTTTGTTTTTTTTTTTTTTATGATATCAAAGCAAATCAATCAATCAATCAATCAATCAAGGCACAAATAATTTTTCATCTCAACTTTTTTTAAAATTAACGTATTAATTTTTTTATGACAACACGGAAAAAAAAAATGAAAATGTTTATTCAAATTATTATTAATCGATAATTAACAATAATTATTTTCTTCATTCATTTCTCAGAAAGTTACTATTTTACAATAATAATAATAATAATAATAATAATGATAATGATAATAATAATGATTATTTGTTATCATTATTGCTCACGCATAGTTTTCAATGCGAATATTTTAAATACTAATGACTTTGTCAAATTTTTTTAAATTATCAAATCACAGATTTCAATTTAACTATTATCGTTTTTTTTTTAAATAATAATTTAATGATACATTATTATCATTATTACTATTATTATTATTATTATTATTATTATTATTATTATTAATATGACTAAATTTTTTTCAATTAAATAAATACTGCTAAAAAAAAAAAAAAACCTCTTCTTCCTTTTTTTTTTTTTTTTTTTTTTTTTTTTTTCATTTCCGATATCGTTTCATCATCGTTCTGATTGATTGATTGATTCTTTTTTCAATTAATCAATCAATCAATCAATCAATCATTCAAAAATATAAATATAAATATTAAAATATAAGAATTTAATTAATAATCGCATCGGTCGTATATGGAATGTAAATGTTTAAGGCACAAATTACATCAGTCCATAAATTACTAAAGGCATCTTCTTCTTTTTTTTTTTTTTTTGGGGGGGGGGCGTTTTTTTCTAGGAGGAATGTATAATATAGAGTATAAAACACGCACACACGCCCACGCAAAAAAAAAGTACATATAAATATAGTACAACTAATAAAAAAAGTAAAAAAAAAAAAAAAATAATAATAATAATAATAAAAAAAAAGAAAAAATTTTCCTATCTGACTACTACCTTTTACTCCTACGTAAAAATAAAATTGGCATTAAAAAATCGTTTATTATTATCAGGTACGAATTTAATAACGATAGAATAACGGTTAAATTTCCCCTCTCCCCCTCTTTCCTTCTCCGTCGGAAAAAAAGTAAATAAATAAATAAATAAATTAGTAGTAGTAGCAGTAATAGTGGTAGTAGTAATAATAGTAGTAGTAGTAGTAGTTTCCCTTAAAAAAAAAAAAGCTAAACACACAAAGAGATCAAAATTTTTTCTCTTATTTACAATTAATTTTCTTTTTCTCTCTCTCTCTCTCTCTCTATCTCTCTTATTATAAATATGGAATGTATACGTTTGCTTGAACACAACACAAAGAAGGTATTCGATGAGTATTAATTTTAAATAATGATAATAATAATCAGAGTGAGAGAGAGAGAGGGGGAAGAAAAAAAAATTAATTAAGTAATTAAAAAAATTACATAACGAAGACTTGAATAATAATAATAATAATAATAGTACTAAAATAAATATATATATATGACTTACTACTTCACAACCAATGTTACCAATTTTTCAGGACGATCATAAAGCAACAAATCCAAATGGAGGATTGTAAATTTGCCCATTGTGACCAACAGAATTGACGGACATCATTGGAACGGGTAGATTTTGCGACGGGGCGGAAAAGTTCGACGACGATTCGCTTCCCGTTTGCTGAACAGAATCCACATTTTGATCTTGTACTGGACCATCTTCTTTGTACGCGGACAAAACGCCATATTCCGATGAATTCATCATGTCACCGATGTGAGATCTCAAGTGACGTATCAAATGCTCTTTTCTCCTCGCCTTGTACGAGCAC